ATCACTTTAGAGCTTGTGGGGGAAATCCTAGCCTTTTAATTTCTCTGAGTCTCATTCTATAAATGAGAATGTTTCTTTTTTGAAACATTCATTTTACAGTATTGAAATAGTCCCACTATCTGCAGTGATAAGTGCTACTGTTTTGATCTGCAAATATTTACATGCGTAGCAGTAAACGTGAATAGTCCCATTGATTTTACTGGGACTACCCACATGCTTAAAGTTAAGTATGGTCATAAATGTTTGTAGGATCAGGGCCTACATAAATGCTCACTGTAAAAGGTACTATAAACAGATTTGGAGTATTTTGAATTCGGTGAGGTTTAGTGTCAGGCATTGTTAGCTACTTATGGTTAAGGTTATAAGTGTTTATTTTTTGATGCGTACATGTTTAATTTAATATTTCACTTATTTGTTGTTTTCTTTTTTCCCAGAGAATCGTGAGGATATGCTGAGTTCAAAAAGCAATAGTTTGACAGATGCACTACAAGAAGCCAATAAATTGTTCAGTGGAGGTAAGGTTAATCCCACAGTCTATTTCAGAAATTTTTGCTTTGAACCTCAAAGCTAATGAAGTGATGCTCAGAATAAAAAAATGTTAGTCCCTCACTACACTAAAAAAAAAAAAAGGGCAACAAACAAAACAGCCAGGAAGGTCCTATTTAATAAACTTAGGTTTATAGTTTAAAAATACAACTGTTTACTTATGCTTCTGTATCTTGGCTCTGCAGTGCAACAGGAGTGAAAAAATAGTGTAAAAACTAATGTCATTTAAGTAAATAGATTCAGTATACTATATTTGGAGAGAGCAAACATATTGAGGAAGAAAATTTAATTTTACTTTAAGGATGGCTTGACGGTGTTTCATACTTCCTGTTGGCAGTGATTAGGCAAATGATTTTCTTTTTAGAGCAGTCAGCTATCCTGTACAATAAAAGGAATTGTTTGATCTTCAGAAATTGACTTACAAAGCACATTAGCTCTGATTTTATTGTTAGTGTAGTGTATACTTTGACATTTAGACAATTGTATATTGATAACATAAAACTTTCTTTTTCCATAAGTTTCCCAGGCAAGGGAGGCTGCCCTGGATGCCCAGTTCCTTGTTTTGGCATCAAATCTAGGAAAGGAGAAAGCAAATGAGTTACACTCTGAAATGACAGTATTTGACTCGCCAGCATTTGCTGAAGATTTAGTAAGTTAAGAACTGCTGACTTGTTAAAATGTGGCTTGAGATTGCCATGTATGTAATAAAAGGGGAAAATAAAGGGGTTTGAAGATTTCAGGAGAAACACTGCTGTTGCATTAAAACTTTGCATAATTTCTATGAGGGTTCTTTAACTTTTTTGCATGTAGTATAGACCTTTATCCTAACTTTCTGCTCAATCTACAGTAATTGCTTTAAAGGCTACATTTAGAATCTCCAGTTTAAATAAAGGAAATGTAGCTATACAAATTTAGACTCCAGATGTTACAGGATCAGAGTCTTACTTCATCAAATGATATTTCACAGCAGTTAATTGAATGAGGTTCTTTACAATAGTGTATTTAGTAAAGAAAAGAAATCTGCTGTTTTGATTTTGAAAAGCTATACCTCTAATACTTTCAAAATAGCAATGTTTGCTGTTTTTTTCCCTCCTATTA